ATGTTTCTTGGGATGCACTTCCAGATGAATTACTTTTGGCAGTCTTTGCATATTTGCCCCTAAATGACTTGTTAAAAGCTTCCCTGATTTGCAAGAGGTGGCATTGTCTTTCGTAAGTATTACTTGTCATCGTTTAGTACTAAGAAAACTTTTGCTTCCATAGAGTGTTAAGTAATCTGGTTCTCATGATGTTTATTTATGTATAATTCAATTTATGCTATATGTGGGTTATCTGTATTTATAATCAAAGGATGGTTCACACATTTTAACATTAGTAAATTCTATGAAATAACTTTCCCTCCTCTCAAGTCTTTTGTGACACTGAAGACTTTCTGTGGTTGTACTCACAGTTCTGACCCTTTCTAACTCACTAACAAGTAAAATTCTGTGCCTTAGGTTTGATGAATCTCTCTGGCAGACTCTTGATCTGACTGGTAGAAATCTGCTGCCAGGAGTGATTGGACAGTTGCTGCCTGCAGGTGTTACTGCATTCCGCTGCGCAAGATCTTTTATTGGGAATCCATTGTTTAAAACAAGCAAGTAAGGCTTTTTCTGTATGTTTTGGATTTTGAAATGTCATCTCAAGTATTCATAGTTTCTCTGTGTGTTTTTGGTTTTAAGATCTCCATCAGTAGTAGCATATGTGCTGTCTGTGGAGCGTGGAAGAGCTGAGCAATGGTTAGGCATGTGTTGAAGTAAGAGGATCTGCATTCACGTGTCAGTTATTTAAAACCAAGTTAATGTGATTTTTTTGAAAGTATAAAGCACCATCAACCACTTGCAATTTGTATCTTGTAGAACCAAGAGTTGTCAGCATCTCCAGCATTTTCATATGGGAAACTAAAAAAATAAAATAAAATAAATGAACTCCTGCAGCATAGACTTCTGGGTGTTATGATGAATCCTCTAAATGCCTTGAAGAGTTCCACAGTTTGGACTGGTAGCTTAGCAGTAGGCCTAGTGAGCTTAGTAGCATGTCCAGTATGCAGGTGAGTACAGCAGTATAATTATTTCCTGCAAGCTTTGCACTGTTTTAGTGCACGGGGTATATTCACGATATGGGGAATTTGTGTAGCAGGTTTTAATGCAATTCTGGTAACCTGCCTTTATCCTTTTTTAGACCTCTCAGAGTTCAACATATGGATTTGTCAAACTGTACAGTGTCTGTTGCAGATCTGCAGAGTATTCTTTGTCTGTGTGAAAGGCTGCAGAACCTCAGCCTGGAGGGGCTAGTGCTTTCTGACAACATCATCAAGTGAGTGACATGTCTAGGAATACTCAGTAAATACCTTCTGTTTGGTGCTATCATTTTGTGCAGGCTAGCGAAAGAATGCAGTTGAGAGTTGTTCATTGTGGGAGTCTTTTGAAATGGCCAGTTTTACGTACCTAACAGCTAACTGGCAGGCTAGGTGAGCTGCTTTTTTCCTTTCTGTCCTCCAAGAGATAAGGAGGAAACGCCCCTCTGAATAAGTGTTTCTTGGTGGCTTTTTTCCTTTCCCCAGAGTAAGGGGAGCCTGAAGAAACTGCTCATCTCTCCAGGGTTTATGAGCCCATTGGTTGTTCCTGCAGCAAAGCTGTAGAGCAGAGCTGCTTTTATTTTCCTATTTCTGTGCTCCCAAGAGAACTTTGTGTTTGTCTTACAGGCTCTTTTCTTTTTGAGGGGTCTCAGCAGCTCTTCCACGAGATGCTCATTGTGCTTCTGCACTGTTTCTCACTTCTTTGTTGAACTTCTCTCTGAATGCCTGGAAAATGACAGATTCTGTCAAGTAGATTCTGTCAAGAACTGCTGTTTGGTGAAACTGGAAAGACACTAATGGGTGTGCAGTCAACCTCCTGTTCAATCACATCAGGTGATTGTGGAGGTGTCAGAGACCATAAGGCAGATGGCAGAGGGTCTGGGTGTCCTGCTTTCTACTTTTGAGCTTTCTGATGCCTTCCTCACACAGGGGTGGAGGAACAGAGCACAAATAAGCAAATATAGTTTGGCTTTTGATACCAGATAAAAAGTATCTTAAAACTCTGTACTAAGTAGGCACCAATGATGGAATTTTATTGCCTTGTGTATTAATATAGATACTACTATGTTTTCTACATTTTGCCAAATGCATGTCTGCTTTAGTCCTGCTTTCAGGGAGATGGTATTTGGACATGTTTTGTTCAGGGGTAACCTCTATCTTGCAGAGGGGTGAGTTCAGAAATGATTGCTTTGCCTTTTTTAGAGGTATCGTAATCTCTAAGCCATGGTGTGTGTTTAATGGCATACAACAGGAGAAGGTGAAAATCAATTTATAAACTTAGCAGTTTATAAATATGCAGACTTGTCAGGAATGTCAGATAAATAGGCAAGTATCCCTTTTAAAGTTGTGCTGTGATGTAGCCAGTACAGAGTTGAGATCCTTAGTGACTCTTACATTGGTCAGTTTACTAAAGATGCAGTGCTGCATGTTTAAGGAATAATTCTGTTCCTGGGATGTTAGCTATTAAACATAATTACACATCCTGCCAATGCAAGCAATGTTCCAACAGTTAAATCTTATCAAACTCTTCTTTTTTTCTTTACAGGAACATTGCTAAGAATCCCAGTTTGATGCGACTGAATCTCTGTGGGTGCGCAGGGTTTTCTGCAGGAGCCTTGGAGCTGATGCTGAGCAGCTGTTCTATGTAAGACAAAAATAGTTTTTGCTATACCTGCTTATTGCCATTCCTGAGAAAAAGGATCCTTTTTATTTGCATCCCAATTGTAGTTGTTTCTAATATTTGTTTATGAGCCTTTTTCTGTTTCTAAATGACTAACAGTTGATTAGCTGAATAGTCAGATAGTTTCTTTCCATCCTATTTTCCTCTTTAGTAGCAAAGGTGTACTTCACTAGTCTTCCATGAGTTTCTTTAATCATCCTTAAAGGAAGTTGTCTTGGTGGGTAAATGCCATTTATGTTCCTTTGATTATCATGTAAATTTCATTTGCTTAATGAAAGCAGTATGTGATCCTCACAAAGTGAAAGTGTGTGTTTTGAAACTGAAAGGTGAAGTTCCAGAGCTCCCTTGCAATTGGAGTACAGCATGTATGGCAGAAAACATTGTGCTTTGCCATGCACGATAGACTAATCCTTCAGTAACCTTCTACTTTATGAAGCACTGTTCAGATTGACATCTCTAGTGATTCATCCATCTTCTGGCAGGAAGTCGCTGAACTGAGCCCTAGTCAGCCTTGCATTTATGTCCTGATCTTTCTGCTGACTTCCTCTGTGTGAGATGCTGGACAATCTACTTAATCTTTGCTTCTGCAAAAGCATGTTTTCAATCAAACTGCGAGTTAGTGTACAGACAAAGCCTTAATCTTTCTCTGTCTCTTATGGCTAGATAATGCTTTCTATTGCTTGGTCTGATTACTTGGATCATGAGCTCCTCAGAGAATGGTAGTCTGTTCAGTGCACAGCGAATAGCAGATGACAAACCTGATCCTAGGAATGCTAGTGACAGTTTAACTGTTTTTTCATTTACATAGAGATTGCCAGCTAAAGCTCTAGTTGTGCTGTTCACTGTGTCTTTGTCCTGTGGTTACATCTATAACACCTGCACACAGAACAAATACTTTGTCCCAGCCCCAGATGGTGATAGGCTATAGGTAATCAAGCATGTAAAGAGAGCGAAGGTCACAGTGTGGCCAATGCTTATATAAAACTATGAATAATTTTATGCTAATTAGGATTAATTGGTCATCTGACCAATGCTAATAATGGATAGCCTTTTTTCTTCTGTCTGTAGTCTGTCAGTAGTAACAGATTCAGGTCACAAACCCAGAAACAAGATGAAAAGACAGTGTCTCCCCGTGGCAGTCCCCAGAGAGAATCATTTGACTTCCTAAATTATTATTGAATCATTCCATTCATGAGGACTTTCTCTGGTTGGATCTTGAAAACCTCCGAAGACAAATTTGACAGCCTTGCTGGGCAACCTGCTCCAGTGCTTAGTTACTGTCATAGTGAAATTTGTAGTCATGAATACAGGAACTCAGTAGTAAGTGTGTTACAAGCTTTTGCCTTAAAAGTCAACTGTGATAGATAATATCAGGACTCAAACTGTATTTCAGTCATTCTTCTAAACAACTCTGTTTGTGTGTAGGTTGGAGGAGCTGAACTTGTCCTGGTGTGACTTCACAGCCACCCATGTCAAAGCAGCAGTCAATTATGTTACTTCAAAAGTAACCAAATTAAATTTAAGTGGATACAGACATAATCTACAAATACCAGGTAAATAACATGGCAAAGTAAAATGGCATTTTATAAATGGCATATAATGGATATTTATAAAATGGCATTTTATAAATATCATGGAAAACCTTTATCCCACTATAGGATAAAGCAGCAGGGTTTATATTTTCTTCTGGTTGGCATCCACTGTGTGTATAGAAAATTTATGCACTAAAGCTGATTTTGTGCTCTGTATAGCTTGATGTTCTTGCTGGCAGAGAATCTGACTCATGTCTCTGGCTCAGCCACAAGGGGTGAGATGATTTGTCTTCTGAATTTAAAAATAGCTCATTTCATCTTCAGTTGAAAGGTATAGCCTTTACTTCTGAAGTAAGTCCTGGAAGCAAGATACACTGGATCCCATGTTCCACTGTGAATTAGCCTTCCAGATACTGTTCTTGGAGCTTTCTTAAGGCTCCTGCTATTGTGGCTGCTGAAGGCATCTTCCAAAAGAGAACAGTCATAGTAACTACTTGAGTTTCAGCCTGATGTGATGTCCTACAGATATCAGTTAATTTGGAAGGCAAATAATCTCACTAATCAATATTAACTATTTACTTGCTAATAGTTCTAGGAGGGAAAGTTGGGTAAAGTTGCAGGGTAATAGAAAATGCAGAGAAACCTAGATTTGGGAAGAGGGCACAACAAAATGGACAAGAGCATAGATAAAAGTGTGAAATCACTTTGATAAAGAGAAAGTAATTTTCTCAATGAGAAAATGTGACAATAGGGCATTGGTTGACAAGCAGGTAGGTGACGCACAGGTTATGATCACTCTTTTTTTTCTGTTTAAATGTCACACAGACCTCATCGTGCATTCCCTTCTGGGGAAATACACCAGCCTTCTTTTTATCCCAGCCCAAAAACCCATAAACAAACATGCTACATAATCTCCAAATCGGGAATTTGAACCTTCTGTTGATCAGACTATTAGAGACAATGTGTGGAGCTCTTCTGTTTGCAAAACACTTTCTATGAGTAGTTTTGCTCTGTTTCAATGCAATTTATAAGGCATAAGATCTGAATAGTTCACTAATCATCATAATTCAGGTATTGTTTTCTTTAGTTTTTGCATGTGATTTCTGAAATATCAAAATCCTCTTGCGTGTTGATTAGCACCCTGCTAATATTAGTGGCCTTTTAGGTGGCACCTCAGCTACAGGTGATTCTGTGCTATTTGCAGACAATGTAAAGATAGTCTCACGAATTTACAGTTTAAATCGGGAAAACCATAACTTTCTGTCATGAGGAAAGAAATGGAGATGCCTAAAGAAACTTGATGCTCGGAAAGGGTGTTTGATGTCAGAAAAATTTTTGGTATTTTTTTCCACTACATGTAAGAATTTCAGGCATTTCACCATTACTATGTTGCAGTAGATTTCTACAGCAATATCACTGAAATTACTCACTTGTGAAGTTGCTGGTGCAATTGACTTTCAGGGATACTTCTTTGGACTAAATGGATCTGTTTTGCTGAGGATTGGAAAAAGTCTCTGTAAGGTATCTTGCGAGGCAGACGATATGCTATAAGTCTTCAGTGTGTACCATCTTAACGAAAAGTTTTTTCAATTGTGGAGTTCCAGTAGAGAAGATATAAATGAATATACATGGAAGTGAGTAGGTTGTATAAAGCTGTTAGTCCTGTTACTGAAAGATGGACTGACTTTGTGTGACCTCTTTTCAGATGTTAAAACACTGGTGGAAAGATGTCCTTTTCTTGTCCATTTAGATCTAAGGTAAGAAGAGCTGTGCAGCTAGTCCTTAAATCCTTATGGTTCAGGGGATTGCCAATTCTATTGTGGTGCAGTAATTATATAGCAATAATGCATGATTGTATAGGATTGCACAACCAAAAAATACTTTCTACAAAAGATTTGCTATCTGGCATGACCTAATCTAGAGCAGGTAACTAACTTGCAGATTTCTTTTTTATGTCAGCATAAATGTTACATACAGGATTTGTTATCTAACAAGTCATCGTAGTTGATAGGCAGAGTTGAAGGGAGCATTCAGATGCATACAGCTTGCAAGCCTAGTATCCTAGAGAGGATTTAGTTCAGCTCTGGTATAAATTTGTTACTTTGTCATAGAACTGTAAAAGAAAAAAAAGTGTATTTTGGTTTTGACCTAGTCAATTAAAATATTTTGAGATCTCAATGTGTAAAGTTATCGCCTTTCCATGGCATGAGTTCTGCTACAGAATATCTGCCTGCAGAGAAGCTTCTGCTTCTCCTGCCCTTCAGTGAAAATCAAAATCCCTCCCCAACAACACACACTAGAAATGGGTTACTTCCATATTGAGCAAAAAAAATACTTCAGTGGTAGAAAAAGTTGATATTCATTACATTTCTCAGCCTGAATTTTGGAAATACCAAATGTACTGCTGCTTTATACTTAAACCTCTATTTCATGTGCTCTCATATACAGTGACAGCATCATGTTGAAACCTGAGTGCTTCCAGTATTTTCATCAACTCCTCTTTCTAGAACATCTGTGTCTTAGCAGGTGTTATCAGATATCACCTGCTGCCTTAGTGTAAGTAATTACTAAATGGCTTTGGTTTGCTATTCATACAGAGGATAAGTAAATTAAAACTTTTGTTATTTTAGGTTTAGAATTGCAAGTACTGTTTTGAAAAACTTAGTGGCATGAGGAATTAGGAATAAGGAGCTGAGATAAAATAGCTTGACTGCTAGAACATGTACCTCTGAGAATCCAGACTGGAACCAAAGGTATCTTGAGATAATCTTTCCATGATGTCAGTCTGTACTCATGGAACTTGCAGCTCAGTGCATGCAGTGTGTCTTCCCTTAATGGCATTATGCTACTGGTACTCATTACTGTGATGTACAGCTGGAGGTTCCAGTCCTGTCAATGACCAGTATTGGTGTCAATATTAAGCTTTCAATTATGCAGCAAGGAAGGTATAGCCCTTTGGAAAAGTCAACAGAGTTGACAGTACTGTTGACTAGCTAATCTGATTATATTCCTTTGCTTTTGTGTGCACCTGTATCAGTTACTGGTTGCCACTGAAACACAGCTCAGTTACTTGCTTGTGGATTTTTTGCCTTTTATTAGCTATCCATCGTAATCCTCTTAGGAAGGATGTCAATCCTAAAGTAATGATGAACAACAAGAAAAAGGTTGTGAGAGGAACAGTGCTATCAAAATGGGAAACTGCAGAATCTTTTCTGTAGCAGTGTGTGCTGTTGTGATGATAGCTTGTGTGTCTCTGCCTTTCAATTTTGTCCAATACTTGCTTATAGATACACAGTTCACATGAAGCAATCAAGAAGCCAGGGCTGGCTACTCACCAGAACGTCATAACAAATTGAGAGACTGATTGTACCTAAGGGCCCTTGTCCTCTGAGCCATGTCCTGAAACTTTATCAGGGCCAATTCTTTCCACTTGTTCTAAACATTTAAGTCCAGAGAAATGAAAGGGGAGGAACCAGTTTGTTTTTGTTTTTGCTCTGTGTGTGAGAGAACAGCAAGAAGCAATTTATTCAGGTGGTTTCCTGAATTATCACTATCGGGAACTAGTTTCAATTAAATATGAGCTTTCAAAAAGTAGGAAGGGGAATTCAGCTTAAGTAGTTACCTTCTTAAAAAAAAAAAAAAAAATCAGTAGAAATGCAGTTATGTAGTTTGGGTACAGACTGGAAAAAAAAGAAGTTTTCAGGTTCATGATTAATTTTCTATTTTTCTCTTTCTAGAGAACTTGGTGAAATTCCAACTTTAAAGACTCTTCAGGTGTTTGGAATAGTGACTGATAGGTCCCTACAGCTCCTCAAGGAAACACTTCCTGATCTGAAGATCAATTGTTCATACTTTACAACTATTGCAAGGCCAACTGTTGGCACTAAAACAAACCATGAGATTTGGGGCATCAAATGCAGACTAATGCTGAAAAATCCTAGTGGCTTATGATCATGTACAGTGCACTGGAAGCAACGGACACACTGTGTGTAGTGAAGCTCCTTAAGAAGCAGAGTGCTGGAGCACCTTTAATCATAGTACTGTTATTGTAAAAAGCATTCTAACTTGGTCTTATGCCTTAATGTAGTTTCATAAATATTTACAGGATTTTTTTTTTACTTCAAGTCTTTAGAAACCTGATGATCCATAAGCAATTGTAGAATTTTTCTTCAGGGTCTCTTTTTTCTTTTTTTTTTTTCAGGGGAGCTTTTTTAATAAAAAAAAAATGAAACAATCATTGTAATTAAACTATGTCAGCCTGTAGCAACTGTTGCAGGTTCTGATGCAGATTTTGTTGCTCTAAGGTGTTCTGAAGGTGCTGTTGATTAACTCTTGCAGCTCGTCAACTCCTGAAACAGCTTGTACAGGTGCTAGATATCTTAATAAGGCTTATTAAGGAATTGTCTTTGAGTTTGCAGAACTCAAAATGAATAATGGTATTCAACCTTTTCAAATCCTTAATTTAACAAGATGTACAGTAAGATGATAAACTACCCCACTGTTTGTGAGAGGGGCAGAGGACTGAGTCTGAATTCGCCAAAACTGAAAATAGTAAACCAGGGAAGGGATGTCTACACAAAAGCAGCTAAGAGACGGCTCAATACTGTACAAGTTAAGAAGCACTATAAAGGAGCTACAGTGAAGTTTTTCTTTAGCAGGCCACAAAGCAACATCAGGTTTTAGTATTCTTTATTGTTCACAAAATATAGTCTGAAAAGCCTATTCAGAATAAGCCCCTGTAAAAGTAGATGCTGGTTATCAATTGTTTCACACAGAAAATAGGTTTTTTTGAAACATTACAGTACCTTAATGTACCTTGTATAAGCTTGATGTCAGATAAAACTTCTTAAAACTGTTCTCATAATTCCTTTAAAGAATAAGATCTTCCAGCTGCAACTGACAAAATGGTAGAGATCTTGCAGGGGGAGGGCTCAAATTGTTCTAGATCGGGGACCAGAAACAACCTGGGACAGCAGCATAAGAATGCTGAAAGGAAGAGATGCTTTGGTGCTGTTAAGATGTGAATTCCTCTTTGGTAATAGCTTATGTTTGTACTATCATTTCACTTCTTGTATCTGTAACACTAACCACTACTATCTAGTGTTGGGTTTTTTAAAGTCATATGAAAAGCTGAGTATCTGTCCAAAAAAAAAAACCCCAAACCAAAATAAGGATAGGGACAAGTAACGACTTTAAAAAACTTTGATCTGGGTCTATCATCAGGGTCCTCATGCATAAACCTGGAATGTTTCAGCATTTCAGTGTTAGTTGAGAAGTCCTAGGGTAAAACTTGTGTACTGTGTAGGCCACGGATATGCTGCTGCCGTTCTGATGAAAGCAATAAGCAAGCAGGGAGTGAATTTATTCATGGATGTCTAAGCTTAGCCTTCAGCAGTACTGTAGGGCTGTTGCATAGGTATAGTCTTTTCCATCTCAATCCAAAGCAAAGATTTCAGGAATACCTGGTAGTACAGAACAGATTAATTACTGAGGGAAGATTGTGTGAGTACTAAAATTTGATATTTATCTTGACTTTCTACAGTATAGCAAATACAGAATTATCTTGTTAATCTATTCTAAGTTGTTTTGATTTTTATTAAATTTACCAGAGTGTAAGTAACACTTGAGTCACTAATGGGCTTGTGCCCCTTACAAATGAATTAATGGGCAACATACCGTGTGAAAGCTGAATGTTGGATGGAAGGCTGGAAGACACTTGATGCTGTACTGCTTCACAGCTTGCAGCCTGAGGTTTTTGCCTTAAATTACTTTAAGAAAAAAAGTAAATATTTGCAGCACAGCACTATTGTAAATTCTTCTCCCTATGCACAATGTAACCCCATACAATTTCTCTTGCATTTAATAAAGATCTAAGGAATTTCTATATTGTACAAAATGACTGATGGATGGGAGAATGCTTTCGCAGACTTGCTAACAACTTTGTGTCATGGGTTAAAATAAAAGGAGGAATTTGCTCCAGCAATGTCTAAACAATGGTGGTTTAAATTACAGGGTGTTATCATCATGCATTTAGTAGATTTTGCTTAAAAACCTTGTACAGAATTGGGATAGTAGTATGGCTGTAGCTAGAAGTAGTAGTCCTGAACTTGTTTCTTTAGGTACCAGCTTCAGTGTTGGAAGAGGACAAATGTTTCTATTGCAGGTCTACTGGTTATGATGGCAGCTGTAGCAGACACATAACGGGAGTCCTCAGGGTTGGGTGCACCACTGACCTTTTCTGAACTGAAAAAAGTTATTTGGTAGCTCCAAGCAATCCATACCAAAAACTGCTACATATATAAGTCTCTGCATTTTACCCAAAGCATGAAGGCTTAGAAGCCATTATTCAAAACAAACTGTGCAGTAAGAAGAAGCTGAGCACAGGAAACACTTTTCAAAGTTGAAAGAAGGCACAAGACAGCTTCAAGTATCTATTAATTTTTATTACATAATGTATAAACACCACTTCTTTTTTAAAAAGCAAAGAATGACAGGTCTAGTTTAGCAGAACACAGTGTGGACTGGCACTAAATGAAAAGATCACAGGTTTGATTCAGCAGGTAGAAGAGGTGCAGAGTTTGCTGCCAGTCCAGGCAGATTAAATCCGTGTTAAACCAATACTCAGTCCTGTCACAAAATACTGTCTACCAGGTAAGTTGTCTGTATGGTAATCCCCTGTAATAAAGAATCCTTAAAAAAGATTCTACAATTTTTTAATAATAAAAAAAAAGGTAGCTGCTTACTGTTATCTATTATAGATCTCTGAATCATCCTAGTTATGTAAATCAAGCATTCACCAGTAAATGCTTCAACAGAAGTGCAATTAAATACAGACAAAACCAGTAGAGGCCACTCATGAGTAGGTCAGGTTTCCATTTTGCCAAGTAAATTAGGAATTTTGACTATGAAATCTCCAACTAAGCCAGACCATACTGTGGATCTTTATGGCCTAGAAAACATTGCCTTTTAGTCTCAGCATTCATAATAAGGAATGACAGGCATCTTTAAGAGGTAATCACCCTGATCAGACTAATCAGTATTCGTTGAAATATTACAGCACACAAATGTCTCAAAATAAGTAGGGTACAGGGTTTCTTCTAGTAATTTGTCTATGCAGGTATTCAAGGACACTTTCAATACCTAAATCTCTGATTTAATGCAGTGGTACAGTCCTAGGAAGTCATAAATCAGTATTAATGGCATTGGTGGGTTGTGTTTTTTTTGTTGGGTGTTTTTTTTAATCTTAACAACATATTGGCTAGTATACTAGGCAGAGGCACATAAACTGTCCTTAACTGGTTACAGATGGATTAAGAATAACTAAAACACCCTAGTCTCTGTGCAGCCAGCTTTCTAAAGGAAGATTAGTCTTTTGTATCTTTCTTTAGAGCAGTTTTGCAGATTGTTTTAGACATGAAGAGCTCTACTGATAGTTCCTGAACTTGCCAAGTTTTGAAAGAGTATTTAGCTACTTTGATTTTCCCCTTCTCGTCTCCAATCCTGATAACTCAAGAAGACAGTGTAAATAATTCAATCTGCAGCATACTTAAAAGGTGACATGTACACAGTGATAGCTTATTCAAAAGCCTTTGTTAGTGTCACATTTTCCTAGAATTGAATGGTCTGGGCAAATCAATTTCCTCTAAATTCTGGGTTAGAGTGAATACAAACATTAAGTAGAGAAGGAAAAAAAAATCCCTTATCCACTTCCTCTACCTATAAAGATCAGTTTGCATTTTGTGATTGGCAATAAATACACTGATTGGCCACAGTGGAGAACATTTCCATTAGACCTGACAGCATCTGTTACAGAAGTCTCTTAATTCAAAAGTAGTTTGAAGAAAACTCACTTTTCGAAATAGATCTGTAGTAGACAGGACAAAATGCATTTGTTTCAAGTCACACAGCAGAAGAGTTCCTGCTGTAGGAATCTTTATTTTGTCAAATTCTGCCCTCTCATCTATGCAATGCACAGACTTTCAAAGGCAGTCATAGTTCACAGTTTCTCTAAAACATTATCTAAAAAGTCAATTCCTCTTCTATAATCAGACCTTCTTTCCTATTATCAACTTCCTTACACGATCAGAGGCATGTAAAATTAAAATTAATTTGTTGCCAATTAAGTATCATTAGAATTCAGCATAGAATTGGAAATTTACACTTTCTGGGGAAGTTAAAAACACACACCTGGAAAACTGGGAGACATATAGGTATTAACTTGTACTCCAACTACTAGCACACAGCACATCTCATTCTTCTTCAATTATAAAGAACCCCAGAACCTAAAATTTCAAACCATTCAACTTGATAAGGCCAAATATCTTTCTTAATGATACCCACCTACATACGCTATTGTGACAGAACACCTGCTAGCCAGCTAATCCATTCAGTGAAGGAGTATATCTTAGTTCAATGTTTCCTATAGTTTGTATATTCCTCTTAAAAGGCTCAAGAAAACCCTTGGGTTTCAAGTACCTCTCTAGCCAAAGAGAAAAAGTAAGAGCTACCTCATTCAAGATGTGATTAAACCAGACTTTTACTTCTGATGTAAATCTACAAAGTAGAAAAAATACTGGAAGAGCAAAAAAAAAAACCTGTGACAATTTGTATGAAACTACAAAGTTGTAAAATTTTTGAAAAACATAAAAAAGGTTTGTATTTCCATTTCTATTATGCCAACATCAGGATTTACCAAAATCTATATATCCTTGCATGAAATTGCTAGATTGACAGTTATACTTTCTACAAAAGTATATATATGAAGGTATTTAGTGTCATCATTCCCAAACTCTTACTAAAAAAACTGTACATCTGAATATTTAATGCTACTGACTTAATACTTGAACCCATCTACCTGTGTTTAAAAAGACATTCTTTCATGTTTGCCTTACAGGTTAAAATGTCAATTTTCACTGAAGTTAGAGGTAAGACTTCAGATATATTTCTTTTATACCAGATGCAAAAAGAACTTAAATACCAGGCTAAGGTTTCCCCAACCCAAAGGAATGAAAAGCATCTCAAGCTTCCTCCAAATGCTCTTGCATCCAGAAAGGCCAACTTCCAATATAATGCAGCATTGTGATGTGCTGTCTATCCCCAGGAGTTCCCTCTCTGGATCCAGAATTGTTTCAGCAGAAGACACTAAGGTGCTTCATTCTTCCAGCAGAACAGTGCACAGTGCATCCTCTGTATCGATCATTATTGAAGCTATTGCCCCATCATTGAACTCAAAAGATGTTCCTCCATCTACAACCATACATGCATCCCAACAACGGGAACGGACACAGACTCTGTGAAAAAAAAACCAAAAAAATAAGTTTTCACAAAATAGCTTAAAAATTAAGTAGTTCACACAAGCACTTATCTGAACAGTAAGACTGGTTCTTGTACATTCCTTTGCATGGGTCAATAAATGCTTTATCACATGGGAGCACACTTAGAGAAGAATGTAGCATGGTACTAAGCACTAGAACCCCCCAACTGACCAGTACTTTGTATAGACATAGCAAAGAGTCCAGAGAGGAATGAAGGACTTGTTCAAATGGACACTATTGCTCCAGAAGTCTGAGAACAACCTATAACATAACCCTTGATATCGAAAGCTGCAGTTTAGGTGTATTTTTTAAAGAAAGCTACTGATGATCCCATTTAATAGTGATTTACTTAATCTTTCACAGAAAAGTTTTCAATTAATTTATGACTCTAACGTATGGTGTTATGTGGAATATGCAGTTTCAACTAGCAATCTTTGAAATTCAAATAGTTTTGATATGAATACAGTCTATTTTGTTACATGAATCATTCACAGAGCGAATGGAAAGTAATTTCAAACACAAGGTCAGAATGCTGGCCAGGCAACACCATAAATAGGTATTACAGCATACTACTGCCAATATTAGAGTTCAACTTCTACATCTTTAGCTAATAAATTTAAATTTAAGCTTGTAAGATTTAAGGCAGCTCTTTTAGAGCTGGACAAGACAGAACACAGCTACTGATCATCTTCCATTTCACTTACAGAGGAAAATTGACTCAACTATTGGAATTTATCCCTTCACATATGTACACAGCCAGAACACCATTAAATACAGAGTTCTCCAAACCTTTTTCATATTGCTAGATGGGAACCAATAGCTATACCAGAGCAGCTGCAAGACTGCAGTCTTACACGCATGTCCTTGATTGTTTATGATTTAGGCCTTGGTCTAGACAATGTCCCGACATCCAAAATTTAATCAACAATTATCCGGTCACTTAAATTTTTAGGAAGACACATCTTTCACAATTATGAAAAGCTTGGACGCACAGTCACAGTGTAAAAGCTTAATTGGCTTGTGCATCACTAAAAACACAGACAACTCTGGATACTGCAGAAGAACATGGAGACATTTCCCACTCCTCCATTTCACTCTGGGCAGCTACTATGTCAAAAAAAGATAAAGAACAGCAACGGGGAGATGTCCAGTATCAAGAACCAAAGATAACTGTGACAGGCAGCAAAAAAAAAGGAAAAATGGGCAGATATCTCAGAGGTATGCAGCCATTTGTAGCTCCAGTATAATTTTTATAGTATATCCCATGCCGAGGACTCCAAATAAGACAAGACCAAGTCCTGTAGAACCCACGGAGGTAAAAGCAGTGTTTTGCTCCTATTTTAACCTCTCCTCTTACCATCTCTTACGATTTACTCACCCTTGAGAACTCCCACATCCAAATGACTAAGAAGCAGTATATGTTTAAAAGACATGACACATGCACAGTGCGCATATAGTATCGTAATATTTATTCCAGTAGCCAGAGATGTTCTTTATTACTAGGTCATAAAATGTTGCTGTAACACTGATGTGGCTCAAAAGGAGCAGAACTTGGATCTCTTTCAAGTCAGAGCTCCTTTACATTTTTGCTATAAAAGGTTGAATTAACATTTAATTAACATGCGATATTGTACTGTTCTCAACATAGTTATTCTGAACATATAACCAACAGTTGCATGTGTATATATTTAATTGTGGCAAGCTCCAGAAAAATCACAGAATCTTTTACGTTGGAAAGGTCCTTTAAGATCATTGAGTCCAACCATTAACCTAACACTGCCAAGTCCAGCATTAAACCATGTCCCTCAGCACCGCGTCTACACGTCTTTTAAATGCCTCCAGGGCTCGTGGCTCCACCACTTCCCTGGACAGCCTGTTCCAATGCTTGACAACCCTTTTGGTGAAGAAATTTTTCCTAGTATCTAACCTAAAACTCCCCTGGCACAAGTACCCAAAGTTAAAATGACTGAATTACCAAATAATTTAGTTTGGAAGGGCATCTAGATCAGCCTTCCACTCAAAGCAGGCCTTACTTCAAAGACAGATGCAGTTGCTTAGGGCCTTGCCCAGTCAAGTTCTGAGTATCTCCAAGGACAATGATAGCACAATCTCTGGGCAACTTGTTCTACTGCCTGATCATTCTCACCATGAAAATTGTCTCCTTTTTTTATCAGGATCTTAGATCCTATAAAGTCATGGCTGTTGCCTCATATTCTGCTCTGAAAAGAGTTTAACTCAGTGCCCTCTGTAACCATCCATTGGTTGTTGACTGGCAACTGGATCCACCCTGCTTAGTCTTGTGTCCTCCAGGCTAAACAAAGGCACCATTTGAATCCTTCCTTTATACACCACATGTTTTGGCCCCGTAATCATCTCAGTGGCCCTTTCCTGATTTCACTGCAGTTTGTCAATGCCTGCGTCTCATATTGAAGGAAACTGCACACACCCAAAACTGGGCACAGTGAGATTCTTTTCTTCTGTAAGATTGTGCATTGATCAAACATTAAAAAGGCATAACACAACTTGGAAACATTTTCTTCCTGCTGTTACGAGAACAATACTCAAGCCCCTCAAAACACAAACTGGATGTTGAAATACTTCAAGGGAAACTCCTGGATCACTCATACTTTGACAAATACACAGAATGAGGTAACTCTTCAGTGACTGCTACAGCCAACACTTACTTTGAAGAGAAGCCACGCTGCCGGCTGCTTGAGAAAACTCTGTTTACAATAGGTTCTCGAATACTGAAAAACATCTTTGGTTCTTCTGGACTGTAGAGCAGGGACTCATTGTAATCATTTGTTACTGTAAATAGAAAAATTAGTGATTAGTTTTTTTCCAGAGGAAAATAGCCATCTGTTTAATAGCCTTCACCTGCAAAAAAAATTAATTTTACAGAGTATTCCTTTCAGTTCTATTGCATGACGAACACTCAACAGCTCTCTTCAGGTGATTAAATATTAAGTGTCTCAAATCTTAGGAGAACTGAAATTCTCCTGACGATCTATACATACAAAAGTCTAAAGAAGTGCCTTCATATCAAATCGGACATTTTTCACCAAATGTGCCTACATCATGTTTGTAAGAAAGACTAACATTCCGTGAGTGCTAAAATACTTACAGCAGCACTGAACATTAAGAGTACAAACAAAATGAACTTGTCAAAGCTAAGATACCTTAAAGAAATCTTGCCTTTGTCACTAACCTTTTTGTACTAGTTCCGTGTTCAAAGGCATATTCAAACTTCCATGCTTTTTAGCTGTTGAGCCAAGAGAAAGAGCCCCAATTAGAAAGGTGTATCTTTATATAAACTTAGCCAGTTAATGACACCTTGTTCACTCACCAATCTTAAGGATCTCTTCAACAGCTTGATGTGCTACCTTGTTAATATTATAGGACCTAGGCAGAGAAGCAGAAGTCTTGTTTGCTAAGCGATACAACTTGAGAGAAAAACAAAACAAAAAATCTTGCATAGAGATGAAAAACTATATTCAGCAACAGGAAAAAAAAAAGAAATAAGGAATGCTATTAAGTGTGAGCTGACATTAGTTTCCTAAGAAAATGTCTGAAATTAACTCTTGGTTTGACATCTACCTGTGGCTTTGTAAACTTTAGTTATCCATTAAGTGAAGCCTTCAGGAAAGAAGAGCACGATACACAGATTGTAGTCTCCTTATCAATAACCCTCCTGCCTCTAAACCCCAATGATTGCTGATTTAAGTCTGCATTAAAAAACTGAAGCATGACAGTTCTACAGATTGTGCGTGTTCTTATCCCTTCTATTTACCTCTTACTAATTAATTTCTTCTGTTCTCTCCCAACACTTTCTTTACAAGCATTATGTCTCTTTGTCCATACAAACTTTGTCAAGGTTTGTGCTTGAATCTCACAAGAATCAAGGTATACAGAAAAGGAACACTCAGATCAGGCACTTTTGCATTTGCCACATTTAGATGCATGACAAGCCAGCATAAAGCATCAGTCTGAACCAAACCTAACTCCAATAAAAGTCTCCAGCCTGTGCCCAGGATCAAAAGGGATTAGGTACTAATCATGGCCTCTGTGCAGCAGTACTGTGAGCATCTCAGTTGCCCAGGTCTCAATACAGCATGAAATCCTCAGTCCAGCCTTCTGTCACGGCAGTAAAACACCTCAGACTGCAACAGACATCCACTATACATCTAACAGGCTACAGAGCTGCTGAGGGTGGTTGTCCAAGGCTTCCTCTCTTATACTTACTGCTACCTGCAAGCCTGAGCAGATGGTAACAAAAAACTGACATGCACAGTTTGAAATCGTTCTCTCTCTCAACTAGATATCATTTTATGCAAGTTTTAGCAGCTGAAGGAAGCACTTGGTCATTTAAATGCCTCTCAGTCCAAGGAGGTCTGAAATCCCAGGAGAGCCCCTAAACCACAGGCTAAGGAAGATCACTCCACTGAGGCTTGGCCTCAGTTTAGAGAAGTCCAGCAGTACACACTGATTAAAGCAATGGAGACAGGCAATCCTGGAGTCTGGTCCCTGGTTCTGGGATTGCTCAGTACAGAGCAAATGTATAAGCAAATGAAATTCGTAAGAACATCTTTGAATTAAGACTGTACATTCCCAAGGTACTGAACGCTAGGAAAGCTCCCCTAGCAGTCTGCCAATTTCATCCTTGGCAGCCTCCAGGACCAAGTTATGCTGTCTGAATACAAAATTCTGAATTACAATGAAGAGTAAAACCCAGTAACCATGGTAGCAGCATGAATATTCATTTTTGAATTTCATTAGAAGCTTCACTTTTAGTTCATCTTAGCCTGCCACATAAACCCAAGGCCTGCTGTACAACTTTAAACTATAAGCACAGCCACATTTCCAAATGAAAGAGGCTCTCACTGTACACCTCTCTCACATCTCAAAACTAAATTGATTAGACTTACATGCAGTACTGCAGCTTGTTTAAACTGAAGCTAAGAGAATTTACCCCTTTGACTAAGCTAGCACAGCTCTGCCTAGATATGCCCATCTTTGTTTAAGAGGAATATTTTGGCAAAGAGACTGTGCCCTTTCAATTAAGTTTGAAAGAGGCAGGAGGCTTGGAAGGAGAATGGACAGTAGATGTGCCAGAGAAACTTAACACTGTTTCCAAGTACATGTTTTCCCATTCTTATTAGAGCTTAGATTTTTCTAAGTTTTCTGAGGTACTTCATCTAAGCATTTCGATTTTAGCCAACAAGTAGTTCAGAGATCCCACAATATGCTCTGCAAGTCAGAGCAGAATCTCTTTCCATCACCGCCAACCATTCATCTCCACATGTGGCATGCAACCACATTCACCAAAATTACACCTAAGGTAAACTTTTGTCTCAATGCCTCAGCTCCTCACCCTTTCAACTCTTCTCTCCATACCCACAAGTGAGGGGTGCTCTGCTCTTCTCATACACGTGAGACAGCTTTGAACCAAACTGACAGTGAGAATACTTGGACATAACTGTCATGCATTGACTTACCCATAGCCCAAGAGAGTCTCAGTATGAACGACATGTTCAAATAAAATAGGCACATTTAGCTTATCTGAAGAGGTATTTTATATCAAAGCAGCAACACGTACTTACCAGGCTTTTGATCCTGTTCCAGTACACACATTAAGCCCTGAACTCTTCTGTTTTTCCCAAGGACCATCATCAACTGATATCTCATAATAGGAGGCCCTATGAAGCGAGAATTTAAAACTGGGTTTGCAGGACTTAAAGTTCTCCCTGAATAAGACAGAACACACAGCCTTATCAGGCACGTAAAAATTTAGAAGGGCTAGTTTCAAATCTGGATGACAATTTCACAAGCTTTGCACAGTGCTTCTAATTTGGCACCGCTTTTGATTCACTGTTTTATAGCAGTTTTGATAATGGACAAAAGTAATTTGCAGCATGAACTTTTAGGCAGTTTTTCTGCAGCCACTTTTCATATTAAATTATACACAAAGAACAATTCTGTAGTTCATCTGGGATAGCTTCATATACAAGTAGTGTTTGCTGGACTCACAATTGAAAACTACAAATACATTACCTTCCTTGCATAACTGTTGAAATACCAAAAAAATGTGTTTATTCTGTGATTTAGTCTCATAAAATTACATGAGGGAACACTAAGAGGTAAACAGTCCAACATCAGTAAGTAACAGCGTGGCTTCAACTGAATTTTTGATCACTTCAGTAATTAAAAATCCACTGTGGTTCTTCACTAACAGTTTTAGTTCTACAACAGTCAGCAAGCTTATGTTTCTGTCCAGGGCAAACTCTTCTCATAACTCAAATGTAGTAACTCTCGGGGCACAATCATCATTCTGCATGATGATTCTGATTATTCATATATCAGGGGATTCCTAATGTTAGGTGTTCCAACTGTGACCAGACAGTCTCTCTGTGTAAGCTTCAGAACATCCAGGGGTATATTTATGAACTAAAGTTACTGATGATCATAGGCCTAATTCAAACATACAGTCTTCAGAATAACAGAAAAACACCGCATTCACTGTGTTCAGCATGACTGAGTTTCACCTTTCTTAGTAAAAGGAGCTTACTGAGCTGTTTTAGGTGATGAATGTTTCAGCATGAATCAACGAGGAGTACACCTCTTGAATATTTGGTGTCAAACAGTTTAGACTCTTAGTAACTAAGGGCATTTTGTATATTCACTCCTTGAGAAGATGGGAAGATGAAAGAACTAGAAGCAAGTTAAGAACACAGGTGCACAGCTTGATTCAGTTTAAGATAATTTTTGCAAACTGAAAGTTGGGTTTTTTTCTCTTCAATTTCCTTGTTTTCTTAACTGAAATACACCATATGACCTTGGAAGAAGTACCTAGAGTCATTTTGTTTTAATATACTGTGGGAGAATTTTTAAGAGATCAATGGTCACCCTGTGAGCACCCCAAGCACTGAGAACTTGTTGATGACAGTGTAAGCTTCAAGGAATGTCGAAGGTCAAATTGTGTTTTGTGAACGTCTGAGTTATGTTGAGGGAGGAAAGAACTGTTGCTGAACGTACCGATAAGCAGGATTTTAATTAAAACATAGAAGTAGATAACTAGGTGAGTGAACAGCTGGGGCTAGCCAGTCATATAGTAGAGATGCTTGTTTGAACTATGCATGTAACCAATTATTGCTTGAGTGTTGCGTGGCGCGGGAGAAAATTGTCTATATTAGCTGAGCTATCTGTGCAATAAAGTGGCATTTACCCTGATCATATTGGTCATGGTGTATCTGTCCGTGCTTCCGCGTCAGCAATATACAGCAGACTCATGCATCTGAAGCTCACAGAAGATTCATCTGTGTGACATCATTATTTAAGTCTTAAAGTGTAAGGTCCTGTTTACACAGTATTTATTACTAGAGATTTGTTCCTACACGCATTGTGTCCCTCAACACTTCTCAAATATGCTGGAACCAAGGAGTACAATGTATTTGTGACACTCAGAACTAGAGGGCTATTATAAAGTGTTGGAAAGCAGCTTTGTGTTCCTGTATCACTGTATGTTAAAGAAAGTTTTTAGATCTTGATAAAATTAGGTTTGATTTAGTAGAGAGCAAAATTTGTATCTCTTTGAGAGTAATTCCTTATGCCAGTCTGAGGCTGCAGTCTAGATGGAAGACAAAACACACATGGAACATATATACTGTTTCCAGCAGCAATCAGAGTGTCCCAGGCACTGTACAAACACAAGATGGTACACTCTAAAGTGTTTGTGTTTTGTTGTTTTGTTTTGGTTTTTTTTTTTTAAGATACAGAATAAGAGGAAAAGGGATATGAAATACAAGTAAAAGTTTGGCCAAATCCTGACCAAAGATCATGTTTTAATTCCTTTCCTACAGCCCCAATCACATTCCCCACATCCTTCTTGTTATCATTTGGCTGGCAGAAATGCACTGATCTCCAGGACAGAAAGGACAGTCAAAGGTATCCTGGAAAATGCAGCACTAGGATTTGATACAAACCTGTTTCTCAAAACAAGGAAATAAGTGTTTTCCTACAATAACAAAGCTTCTGCCAAAGGCAGGCTGATACCTTTGCCTCTAATGACAGAGAGGCAGGGAAAGGAGTACTTGCTCATGCTAAATGCTATTTCTGCTTGGTCATGCTAAAACCTTATGAAAAGATATTTAAGAAGAGATGCAGGAGAGGAGGCAGTTTAAGGACAGACATTTAAATCTTCAATCTACTGTAAAGCTGGCAACTGAAGGCATTTGGTTATGTAAGAACTAACTGGGAAAGGAGTAAAACAATGAAGAGGAAAGAAAACAGCCAGGAATAACGAAAGGTGAAAGAATGGTCAGACAGGCAGGTGGAAAACCAGAAATTAACATCACTGCACTTACATTTCTGAAAATACACTTTGTAATCAGCAACAATACAATTAGCGTTATATATTCATGGAGTAGAACTGAAATCTGACAACAAAGACATATCATCAATTGTGCCTTGCTGCAACAACAAACAATTAAACATACCTGGATGAAAGAGATTCCCCAATGAAGACCTCATTGAGTGCTCTCACTGGTAAAAGATGTGGACCAGAAATGTCAGATCCTGCAGATATTGAATGTAACAGTTTTGAATCACGGCCCAAGAACCCAAAGTTTCAAAAACAATTCACAGCTCATTGGAGGACACACTCTGCTGCCTCAGTTTGTATCCTAGACCTAGTGCCCCATTTTGTTCAAGGACTTAATTTTTTACTGATTTAGTCTGTAGCCAGTCATTGTCCTTTACTGGAGAGTACAAATATCTGAGCCAAGGTCAATAAGGCAATGACACTTATGTTCAGACATTGCTTTCCCTGAAAACTCATGGGCAACCAAACAGACTGAAGTCTTCTATTCAGTCAGTCACTCTTCCAGCACAGTTAAATTCACTGACAGTGACTCAACAGACATTTTGAATCAAGTTCAAAGAATTAGACTTTATACCACAGGGTAATTAAGGGGGATTAACAAATTGTTCATGTTAACTAAGGACTTCTCAGTGAAGAAATGCAGTGCTAGATGCAGTTTAAGGATAGAATCATGTACTTTCAATCCATCATAAAGAAAACAGCTGAAGGTGTCTGATGACTAAAGAATTACCCAGGGAGAGATTCTCACTTCTAATTTCTCATTTGCTTGTTGGCAGTCTGTGACCAGCTTTTTCAATCATGAATTAACCTACCACAAGAGCATGCGTGCATACACACATGCACATTTAGCATGGAGCAGCTAAATGATGGAAAAAAGTTCATGTGGTAACCCCAAGTGTCTACAGTAACCCTAAGAGACCGCATTTTAAAAAAGCTCAGGTATTTTATCAGCAGATAATACTATTTAAAAACATCTCTAAATTTACTGTTAATACTGAAAAGTGGTTCTAAGTGTACAGTCCAGATAAATACATAGAAACAAAAAATACTCCCTTCTAAAAACCTTAATCCAGCTCTTCAGCTAATGAGACCTGTCTCTTCCTGCCTCTTCAATACAGCAACCAGACTTCAAATACTTGAAGTGTTACAAATCTTTAACTGCTTCTCCAAGTTATAGCAAAGTGATTATATTTTTGTCAGATTTTAACCTACTTTGATCCTGGAATCTTTCATTTATGTGAGCCCTGCTGTGTTGCTCTTGGCTTAGCTGCTGTTCATGTAGATCTACAGGGGTTGGGTTAATACCGGTTCCTTCAAGATACAGTCGGATTCTTTGCCGCCACTGCCACCTTAGAGAGGAGAAAGAAATTGGTATCAATAGCTGAAATATTCATTACACAATTAGATAGGATCAGAGAGTCTTCACTCTCAACGCAGAGCATCTTAATATTAAAAGTTCAATATATTCAAAGTCACATTTCAAGTTTTATAGCTTCCACTATCATTTCTAAATTTAGAAAGTTAATCATACTAAAATGTAAATACTTTACACTTGCCAATTTGCTACCTAATGTTTTTCATATGTGTAAAATAAGAGGACACCAGCCAAAGTAGTCTACAAGCATCCATAATGTGATCTATAAATAGTAACAACTCATTTTTCAGGCATGTGATCCTAACTTCTGAATTCATGACTGATGCAATGATTTGGAGAACAAGCAGCTCTCAGGAATTTATACAGCAATACACGCTGTATTTTTACCACCGTTTGTTTGCACTTGTAGATGTCCAGAAAAGCAGCTCTGTCCACCCTTTTATACATAATGGCCACAAGTATCCTCTCATTTTATGAATCTCTCCTAGTCTAGGAACTTTAGGATGCTTAAGTGGAATTCAAATGAAGAAAGAGAAGGATATAAAAGGCATTCATCCTTAAGCTGTTAGAACATTCAGATTTTTTATTTTTTCCAAGAGGAGGTATCAATTCCTTTTTCCTTTTACAATTCAGAGATTACATAAAACAAAACAGCAATAGTAGTTTTGATTAAGAAAGCAAACCACAAGGGAATGTTATGAGTACATCTTTTCCCAGTTCATATGGTTGATATCTGGGTGGCAGTAACCAACTTACATTTCCTAAAATTACAGCAAGGAAGACTTACTGTTTATGACTACATTACTAATTCTTCCCCGTTGTCATCCTTGTAGACCCCCATTCAACACATCCTTAGTCTAATTCCCTATCTGACCTTAAATTCCAAGTATGTTTTTAGTTAGTCAGGCAGACAGCATGCAATGAATATCACTATGCTTGGCTCCTTACAATGCTCATGCTACAACACGTCAAAACCCCTAAAAAATTAGAAAATGGGACTGCACCTCTATTGTACCCCTATTCTGAGATCCTGCTACACCACTGACCATCAAGAAAAGAATCATGTGTAGACTGATGTAGGTTGTCCTTCATAAATCAATAATGTTGGTTGTTTCATGGGACTACAAGGTAAAGGGCTTACACAGATTGTTGCACTAAAATAGCTGACACTTCAAGGATAAGCAGAAAAGACAATCCCCCTTTTCCAGTCTCTGGCACTGCACTGTCCATATGCAAATCCGAGAGAACCAGAAGCTCTTACAAATGGGCTGATCCAGTTACGCACCTATTTTAAAGTGTGGCCTTAGGGCCAAATAAATCTAAGAACTGCCAAGTGAAACACCTGCTTAGGTCCTTGCTTAGGAATATCAGTTCCTATTATTCTGGAAAAATAACAAGGGAGATCCCTTCTCACTCTGGTGAGGCTTCAGCTCCATAAAGAGCAACAGCAGGAGTGTCAGCAACAAAAATATGATGTGGCATCCAACAAAATACTAGAAGCACGTAGATTATCAAGCTTTACCTAAGCAGCTTAGCATGATGGAGAGTTGAAAGCTACTGTTTTCTAAGTCTCAGAATATGTGAGTTGAAAGTACCTTTTAATTTAGCAATACCTATTGAAACCCCTCCAGTTATTTCTAATCAATCCTAATGACCATATTCACCTAATTTCAGAATTTTTCTATGGCACAAATACACTTACACTTCAAGCTATAAATTAAATATGCTAGGAGTACAAACAAAACCCAATCACAATGTATTTGCACATGAATGACTCATTTCTGTCTGATGGTTTACCATCACAAAAGCATTCTGGAATGTTAACACACCGAAGAACAATGTCTCTTTTTAAATAGTTATTAAAGAACTCCTCCCTAGTCTGTCCTTTAAAATTCAGCTTGCTTCCATCTAATTTCAAGTGAGATTCCTCTATTTTAAGACAATCTAGTATTGAAAACGTCAAGCTATCTTCAGCATAAAGAAAAGCTTTGTCTTACACTAATCTGTTAACAAAATTTTAGCCACTTTACCTTAATCACCAAACGCCTAGATGCAACAAAGTGACGATTTCCTAACTGTATAGGCTTCATTAGTTTCTATTAGTATGGTTCATCACTGTACTATATATGCTTTCGAGTGTTAAAACATGTAAACCATTATACCCTTTACAAGAATGCAGTTCCTCATTTATGAATTTGCTAAGTCAGAAAAGAAAATAAACTACAAAAAGTCATAACAAAAGTCTTCTTGCTGGAACCTGCAGTCAACTTTATCCTTTGTGTTCCAATCTCACTCCTGACCCCAAACCCATATTTCAACATGGTAAACTTCTACACAGAATTCATGATTTGAGGCATTAAGATTTTACTAAGCATCATCTGCTCCTTAGGAACTGCACATCAGTAAGTATTTTCCAACCATAATATGTTTTGGAAAACCAAAGATCAGTGAATCCTACCTGAACTCACCACGATAAAGCTTCTGTAGTGCCTCAGGAAACGAGTGTGTATATCTCACAGGCAAGCATAAGTGACCCTCCGATCTGGCAGCAAAAAAGGACAATGAAAATGACAGTATAACTATTAAGATTTGGTACTTTTAAAAAACAAAACAAAACGAACATATCTTTCTGTTACACAAGCAAAGCTACACTTCGACCTTTATGTACATATACTATTCTTACATAATAGTACATCAGCACAATACACCCCTTTCAGCTGCTGGCGTATGTGTGTGTGATACATAGGGTATTTCTCCCATGTTCCCCCTAAAAACTGGCTGTTCAGCTAGTAATCCTGCAGGAATATGTAGGTACTAATATAATTCCTGTCCCCATAGTTCTAGGCAAGGAATTCAAGCTTAATAAACCTTGCAAGTTAGAAAGAAAATTTCTTCCATTTACACATAAGTTCATGATATGAGACAGGTAAGCAACATGCCAAAGATCAAAAGAATCTCGTGTCAAAGCCAGAAGACTAAACACTGCTCCCCTTTCATGAGTGATATTTGATAACTTGAAGGCACTTGTTATTTGAACCCTGCTATTCAGGCTTCATACTGTAGAATATCTGTTCACAGCATTAGAAAAGTTTCGGAAGAGGAGTGAGGTATGGAAGGAATTAAAACTTTTAGCCACCACTTTCTTACCCACTAACGTTAAAGCAACCGGTCATATCAAAAGCAGAAACCTAAATCTGGAAATCTCAGCAGACAAGACCCTTGGGGAATTTTGAGTTTTACTTGCCATCCATTTGAAGGTTATACCAACCAGGCAGTACTAATACACTGTATCCACCTGCCCAAATCAATCTTATGGCTAGGTGAATGCAACTTGTGTGGAGTTTATAATAGGACAACTAAATGCCATTAATTGGCTGAGGAGACTGCGTCCTCTGAGGTATGACATGGCCTACATGAAGAAACGAGAACAAACTTGTTCGTCTGAGGCCCTATCGGATTTCCAGTAGGACTCACCTTCTTCGTAATGAAACCAAGCTTCTGTGTGTTCTGGCACCACACTTAGATGCTTTTGGCAAGTCTCTTTTCCTATCTCTGTTCTATACCGCCATCTCTGCCTCAGACTTCTGGTTAGTAACACAAGTTAACTAGCTGCAAGTCCTGTTACACTGGTGTGTGAAAACAGCTGCGGCAGTTTAACACAGCCATGCTTATCCGATATTACTCAACGTCCTCTCAGTTGAGACAGCATAACTCAACATGGAAACTTTTCCAATAAGACAACAGGTTCACTTGATATCTACAATCTACTAAAACAGATATTAACACTGCCAAATGCTACAGGCATGCCTCATGTATCACGAAAACAGATGCATATTGAGCCTGATATTAAATAAAGCATTGCTTTCCCAAATATGTATTTACCTTTCAGGATCAGTATTCACTCCAATAACTGGTTTAAACTTATCAAAGACCTTACTGGCTGCCAACAACATTGTACCATCACCTACAGAAAAAGCAAAACAAAAGTTAGTTTCACTGCACATTCTAGTACCCCAAACAAAATAATCTCATGTGTACTTCAGCATTACCTTTACCTGCTTTTTTCTTAACAACCAATGAGGTAAGCTGCACAAAAATAAAATGGGACCACAAAACTGCTGTCACCTTTCAAAGCAAAGCAGTGACAAGTGAATTAAAGATGGCAAGTGTGATTGGAAAAAATACAACTTATCTGACAGCTATAGGTGTTGAGGCAACTGAATTTGGCCCAAGCAAGTTCAAAAAGAAATTTATGGAAATTCCTGTATGTTTATGAGCTGGTAAGAGAAAGTCTTTAAGAAAATAAATTTAGAAAGTATCGCTAATCAAAGCCACAGGAGACAGGAAACAATACCAAATTCTACTGGGAATCACATGAAAACAATTACTTTCGTTCCATCTCAGTTGCTCTCCTAGAAGGCACAATTTAAAAGTCTTATTTGGCCCCAAATAGGCATGCTTGGAAAAGAAGTCTGAGATTAAAACTGCTGAAGTAGAAATCTTTAAGTGTCACTGGTTTCTTCAGATACTGATATTCTTTCCTGTCTGTTAAACAGAAGGACAACTATAACCTGGATCAGTCTTTGCACCAAGATATAAGGTCTGAAAACCCAGCTGCTTGCCTCATAACCGTGACAAATGTTGCCACAACCAAACTGGTGCTTTGATCTTCAGCTTAGAGGAATTCTTTGAAATCTGCAGAGTATATTAGGATGCTTCAGAAAGCACACATATGCCTTTCTACCCATATTGCATGGTATCCAGGGGTTAAGGGTAAAGCCGACCAGTGGGGAGGAGAGAAAAGCAGAGCAGTGGTCAAGTCTTAACTGCCACAGATGATTGAACATTATGTCAGAGCCCAGCAACACACTGCAGTATCTGCAGCAAATCACAAAAATAACGCTGAATGAACTGCTGCAATCCAAAGTTAAAAAGAAACAGGTTAGTTGCTCTGTTGGTTCATTTAAAAAGCTCTAATCAGTGGCACAGGCTGCTCAAAAGTTGCACACTTTTACCTGTGCTATCCAACTAGATACTCCAGTCACTGCAATTAAGTGCAAAAGCAAAAAAGACACTTTGAGCAAGGGGAGGAAAAGGTAGTACATTAATCTCCACCACTTCACATACCAAAAAACAAAGAATAGGGTTTAGGGCTACGTATAAACACATGACAGCACTTCATCCTCTTTAACTGAAAACTATACTAAATTCAACAGTTTATACTGTTTTACACAAACAACTAAACATTTCCAAAGTGGCCATGCACCAGGATTCACTTCCTAGTGCTACAGTTTTAGATACTAGAGGTAGAAAGGGTGGTCGCAACCATTGCATTTTGTCATATTTTCTGACAATTAGACAAGCAGTTTGTTTTCAAAATGTGCATACCTCCAGATGCTCCACACACTGCAAAATATTTTTGAAAAACTTATCTATGAAAACATACTGAAACAAATACTTCCCTTCCATAAAGTCATACCTCCTGCTGATATAACAGCATCTGCCCACCGAACTGTCTCTTCATTATATTCTCGACGTTTAACAAGACGAACTTCTATCTTCTCATTCCTATAAAGTGCAGAAAAAGCCTGAATGTGTCCTATACTGCTTCTTGTCACATCCTTCTGAAAAACTGATGTGCAATTAAGGAATAATTACAGTGATATCTGGCTTATAATCATTTGACACTCACACAAATTCTTTACAACTTTTTCATTTGTTTTCATGATAATAACGCAGTGTGTTAGTTAACTGAACTGAGCTAGTCCACATTACGATTGTTTCAGGAATGACTGTTCATCTGCACCATCCTGTTTTCAGTATTCCTATTTTATTACAGCTTGTAACATAAAGCTTCCTTTTGTTCTAATCCATGGATGTTTGCACTGTGTCTGAAATTCTCAACAGCCATATATTCTTACCGTAAACTGTCTACAACATGCTCCACGTTTTTTGTATGAATGCGATGCCGCTCCAGCAGACCAGCATAGTTAGATCCCTTCAAGGCAAGCTGTAAGACAAATCGATTTTGTAGAAGTTAATCACTACATTAAGTGCTCTGAGTAATACAAATAGAAGCTATAAAAAATCATGTCCCTTATCTCAGTAGAGACACATGCTTTTATAAGCATTCCATTAATTACATCTCTAGATACGTAACAGTCAGCTTACATTGACTAGTTCATTAAATGACTTACATGGCCACAGCAGCCAAGAATCACAGACCTTTTAAGGGCTCTACACAAATATGCAGACATGTATGCTACAATGACTTCTACGCCACTTCAGACACGTTGCTTTCCCTGAATCTGCTAAGTAATTTAAACTCTAGGTAAATCTACATAAAATAGTTATAATAACCATGCTCCTGTCATGTGCTAAAAGCACCCAGACAGTTAGCTAATTACCTCAAGAGTTACAAACATTGTGCTATAAAGAAAGGGGACAACAGAAAACACAAGAGAAATGACAACTAATAAAACAGGGGTCTTTGAAATACCTAGAGCATTAACCTTCAAATTGTATTTGAGCTAGAATGGAAGACTGCCAAGTCTTGACAAAGGTGACATTTCCCCTGCGTCAAAAAAAGCTTAAGGACAATCTACCTACTACCTTTGACACTGTGCCCTGGATTACAGACCAGATTTTTCAAACAAATTCACACTGATAACAAGACAAACAGTATTTAGTAGTTGCATTCTTAGCATAATTATTCTTGGAAGCTGGAGAATTTAAATACTTAATCTTGGCACTCTTTAGACCATGGAAACATTTTGCAGTTCATATAGATAGACTCTTATGAGCAGGCAGGTGAGACCGCTGGCTGAAGATTAGATTTTTTTGCAACAGGTTACTGTGCAAGTAATTCGGTCACCATCTGTATGCATTCATTCTTCATCGCACTTAGTGAGCTCATCTGGAGCTGGCACTGCCAAGTAACTGTCTGCATGGAGATTTGGCAAGTAGAAGAAAGAGGGTAAAAACGATGTTAGGCAGAAGGGGTTTATAAATACAGTCATAATGAAAGTGATCCTGCTTTGAGCAGCAGGCTAAACTAGATGACCTCCTGAGGCTCCTTCTAGCCTGAATTATTCTGCAATTACTCTGTCATTGCTTCCTTTTCCCCTATCCGTTAAAACCTACTTACCAGCACAGAAACAGAACTTCTCCTAGTTTGTGTAGAGAAATTCATCTGTGCCAGAAGCTTTGAACAGGCACTTCCAGCAATTTATTCAAGTGCCTTTACTCACATTTGCACACCCTTCCAAGAGACAGTGGTGCCAGCCAGCCACATCCAATCCCATTTCCATAGAGACTCACACACCACAGAACTCCACAACAAAGCGGAGAGAACGGGCAGGGTCTGACAAACACAGTTAACTGTAATCCAATACCCAACAAATGCAATCTTCCTGCATCTGACACCTGCCGATGTCAAGAAATCCAAACATGAGCTAAGTACAAAGACAGCCTCAGTGCCGAAGAAATTGCAGAAAACAATGGAATTGGCTGCTCTGGAACTGCATCACTGTCCTGCTCTGTGTGGCTACAATCTGCGATTAACTTGCAGGAACAAAATCTCCAGGTGGTCTTACAGCTGGGATCAGGAAACCACCTCCAACAGAGGGGCTCCTGGACTTTGCCTGGATGCCACAGCACCACAGGCAGACAGCAGGAGCAGCTGCCAGCTGAGGTTGGTCACACACACAGATAACCACGTGGGTGATCAGGAAACATCCAACCAAACCTTTCAGGTCATCTTTACAAAGCTTCTTAGTACTGGTTTACTGGGATACAAGGCGTTATGTCCCATTAATTGCCTCACGCACTTAAACCCTTTGTTTCTACTCCCCAGATACAATGCGTAGCCCCGCACTCCCCTTGCTCCTCCAGAGCCCACGGTGCTGCACTGGGAACCCGAATGGTGCCGCGGTGGGGA